CCATTATTGAGAAACTGGAGTTCAGTGAGTTAGTAAACAATACGAATAAGTAGTTCCTATTTATAGAAAAATATTCTAGGATATTTGTGTATATTAGATTGCAAGGAAAAATTGGGATTAGGCGATTGAACTTTGATTTGATTAAAGCGCGTACGTATATCAGGGCACTTAATTACTACAAGACACTTAAGATTTTTGTCGGACTTTCCTAAATTGGCGTATATTATGTGTAATAGATTCTTATCTTTTTAGGAAAAATTAGGACAACATTCTCTACTTAGATTGATTAAAGACTCGTTGGTTTTTGGTTAACGGTTAAAACATATTTCAAAATTTTATCGTTAAAAAAATTGTCCAACGATCTCCAATGTTATTGAAATCATGGTCTAAAAAAATCTTGTCTTGCATCTTACAATTCCAGATTGATTTGCTAAAAAATCTATCCTGAAATCAAAGCCATAAATCAGAGAAATGTCTCGGCATATTCTCAAGCCCTAAGTCTATAAACTTTTGGAAGTCACTAACTTAACCTTTGCTATATGATGATCGACATAAATAATTTTTTTTTGGACGTAATCATAATTTGTAATTATTGGTTGAAAACGTTGGGAGCAAGCAAATGTTTTTGTAGGGTAAAGGCCAGTGTGTAAACGGTGAAATGTATGAAGGAATGTTATCATTATTATTTGACTTAAGAGGCATCGCCCATTCTCTACTCTTTTTAGTCACAAATAATTAAACACATCATTTTCTCTCATTTAGGTCCACTTTTGGGTGTTAGTTTGTGTCTCTACCTAAAGAAGAAGTGGAGAATCAATTTTGAGTAGACTCAAATCTATGATATATAAACCTATAGATTTGTATATATATTGGTTGATAAATATAGAACCATGTTGTTAGGTTTCAGTGGCTAGTGGCTACTATATATATACATCTGTTTACAGGTGAAAAGTTTCACTAATTGATGAAGCAATCCCAACATAATAAATTTCTGACCGTTGAAGTTTCGTATATTTTGATCTAACGATTAAAACCAATCAATCTCCAGGAGTAAACTGGACTAGTTTATGGTAATTGAGTCTTGAGTCAAATTAATGACTTCGTTAAGTCCAAGAATTGGTTTGCTTTGATATTGTTTTTGCGGTTCAAAGTGATATCAAGGAGAGGTTTATAGTTTGTTTTAACAGAGAGGTCTTTAAAACCAGAGCTAGCTAGGATTGATCTTTAGGGCTGTTAGAGTGAGATGATCAAGCTTAGGCCTGGGCAAAAAAACCGTACCCGAATACCCGAACCGAAACCGACCCGAAAAAACCGGTTCGGGGCGGGTACGGGTATTAGCTATTTACCCTATTGGGTCTTGTATTGCCGTACCCGTGGGTATAGGGTAAAACCCGATCCGAACCCGATACCCGAACGGGTACCCGATTACCCAAAATTACTTATACTTATACATATAAAAACTTTATATATATGTAATATTTGAGATAAATACATTTATATCCAAATATCCGAGAGTAATTACCAAAAATTAAATGCACTTATATTTATATATTTAAGACTAAATATATTTATACGCGAGATGCTTGTAAATTTTTTAAATATTTGGACAAAATTCCGGTTATTCGGATAAATTTTTGGGTGAAACTCGGATATTTGAGTAAAATTGTGGATAAAATTCGGATATTAGAGTAAAATTTCGGGTAAAATTCTGGTATTTGGTAAAATTTTGGGTATTTGGGTATAAAATACCCGAACCCGATGGGTGCCCGATTTTTTTGGGTATTTAGCGGTTCTAAAAATCTAAACCCGAACCGACCCGAACCCGATTAGACCCGAACCGAAACCGAACCGATATTTTAGATTTACCCTATTGGGTCCTAAACTCCTCTACCCGAAAAACCCGTACCCGATCGGGTTTTACCCGAACCCGATCCGCATACCCGAATGCCCACCCCTAATCAAGCTTGTGCACTATCTGTAACTTTGAAACTAGTGAATTTGATAGTGTTGCCGAGCCGAAACATAGGCTTTCCCACATCTAGAATCTAACTTGTAAACGTGACTCGTATACATGATTCTTTTTCTTCTTTTTCACTGCTCATTTTGTTTCTTCTTTCAAGTTCTTCAGTTTGATTTCATGAATGGGAGTAAGATTGAGTGTAAAAAAGAGATCTATAAGCTGAAGTTGACCAAGTTAACGAATCCAAGAGTACAATATATTAAACCAGTTTGTTAGGTTTTCAATGGTTACTAGATAATTTTGTTTACATATAAAAGTTACACTAATTGATGAAATAAATTTTGTCTCTTGAGTTGAAGTTTTATATATACATATATCAGTACGTATCATGAGTTCAAACAATAATTTTATGATAAAAAATATATATATCTATAATAGTATTTTTGCAGTCATTTTGGTGACGGGTGGATAAAAATGCTTCCGGGTTATTTGGATATCCGACCCATTTCAAAAAATCATTCACAAAAAAATTTGTTGGGTCGGGTTATATTTAATCCAACTCATACACCGGATATTCTATATTTAATAATTTAGATATTTAGAAGATTTGATTAAGGTTTATAATTATGATTCTCCTATCATCTTTGTTTGATTTGTTTTTAACTGTTTTGAATCATCATATAATACATAAAGTAAAAAAAATCAATTTTTTTCTGCATATATGGTGAAAATGTGTGTTTAACGTTCTACATCAATTAAAATATTTAGACAATGATTCAGAATCATATCGAACATTAATAAAATAAATGAGTTTTTTGGCCGGACAGGTTTGGCGGAACGGGTTTTTGAATCAATAATAATAAAAAAATTAAAATATCATTAATTCGCCGCTTCAATACGGATTAAATCCTTATTTTTTTAATACCACAAATATTAGACATATTAAATCAGTCTCATTTAGAAAAGATTATATAAAACCAAAAATTGTCCTATGGTATAATAATGTCCCGTGCTCTTAGAAGATGATATGATTTGTAAACTTTTATATATAATAAATAATCATTAAATTTTAAAATAAAAACAAATCACGGGACAGGTTAAAAAATTACAGAACGAATTATATTTCGGAAATGATTTATATGGCGGACGAATTTGAATCAATATTTATATACCACTTTAATACATGTTAAATCCTCAGTTTATTAATAATTGTCTCGTGGACTCGTGGTATACCGTTACGTAATAACAATTGTAAATAATAATATAAATAAATATGTTATAGGAGTAAAATTTACAAAAATATTTTTATACTACGGTGTATCGCGGGTTAAAATCTAGTATATATATATAATTTTATGATCAAGATATCATGAAGAACGTATTAGGATCCTCTACATTCATAATTAAATGGGGCGTGTTTAAATTCTACATCCAAAGTTAAAGATAAGGGTTTATGAAGAGCTAGCTAATCCATTCATTATCAGTTAATTTGGATTTGAAATCGCATAAAACTTGACATTTACCTTCTTCATCACTTTTTATAATACGGTTCAAAACTAACATCAGAGCTTCTTCTTATTCTTTTCGAAATTAACCCATCTTGTGCAAAAATCATAAAACTAAATTATCAAATTTTTGTACTTCCGATTTTTCGTTTTTCTTAACATTTGAAACTTTATTAATTAAACAATGTACAGATTGGAGAAGGTAAAATAAGGAAATGAGAGATATGAAAGTGGAATATAAAACTTGATCATTGGATTTTAGCTTTTTAGGCGTTTAGCTAACATATATATCAGCCGACCTGTTCGAAGTTTTTGGGATCCAAATGAAAATAACATCTTTAAATCTGTCCTTCCGAAGTAAATTTATGGACGCGGTTACAAGGTGGCGAGTACGATTCGGCAGATAGTTAAAATAGTGTAACCCGTGAAGTATGTTACTTTTAGGATTTAATTGTCCTTACAAAAAAAAAGAGAAGAGAAATGGATAATATGCGACCTTGTGAATGACTCGTGGGTGCATGTGACTCCACCATTCATCTCTTTGATTCCTCCCCAAACCGCGACAAGAAATAAGAAAAACTAGTGGTCGGAGTACTCATGAGTACTTGTCGTTTAGACACGTCGGTCCTTCACCAGCAGAAAAGAGCTAAAAACTAGAACATCAGACAACGATCATCGTTTGGATGTTTTCTTTCCACTTCTAATATGTTGCCGACTTGCCATTTTACAAGTCTTAACAAAGATGTGATTTAATGGCAACCTGTTGTGAT